AATTGGACCTAAATGTGATTTCCTTGTGGCATTGTTTATCGGTGTGTAAACAGTCAGAAGATCCCAGAACCAGTTATAAATACAGTGGGAAGCAATGAATGGTGTGGTTTTGGGGGAGTTCAAGTTGCTTGTAATTATTATGTGACCTTGGAAGTATAGTTTTTAACATGAATGTATTAATCGTTTTTTACAGTAATTAATACATACGTTTTGAAAATACTAATAGATGTAAGAAATAGTATTTTTAGGGTATTTTTTGGTTACATAAATGTGACACGAATTCGTTTTCCAATAAGACATTAAACAATTAGAAGCATTTAAGGTGAAAAGTGAAAATCATTCTTAGTCCTCAACATCACACTCTTTTTTCCAAAGATGGTGCCTGCTCGCCCTGAGTCTGAGCCTTCTCCAGATGCTCTTCCGCTCAGTGACGAGCGTGCACATGTGGACGTGAGTCTGGTATCAGGTTACAGAGTGCACACGTGAAGTAACAGTACCTGCCATGTCACACGGCGCTGTTAACACTTTGCTCTACATCTTCGTGGCCTGTGCCGTGAGCCATACTGACCAGTCCCAGACTGTTTACCATCATCGAGCCAGCCCACCACTGACGGGGTTTTGTTTTTGATCATACACAGTACTGCACTGAACAGTTATACGTGCATCCGTGCACACGTGTGACTAAGACATATTTGGTGGCTACCGGAGCGGTAATTGTCAGGCCCAGGTGTGCACACTAGATTGCCACGCACACTCCCATATTCCAGGGGGCAAGGTGTTCTGTCACTGCCATGCAAGCCCGTGTAGTCCTGCTCACCACCTGTCTCTGCACCTGCACACAAGCGCACCCACGAATGCCACACCGTTGGCCTCGGCGGGCGGAGGGGGGGGGATCCTGCCGGTCCTCGTTTCCTTTCCCGTGTGAGTCTTGAGAATCAATGAGATGGTGGCTTCAGATACTGCCTAAGCTTGGGAAACACCTATCATCATAAGATAGCTGGAAACAGACCATCCGTTTGGTAGGTTTTGTTGTTTGTTTTTTATAAGTGTATTTATTTATTTAGAGAGAGAGAAAGAGAGAGAGCACAAGCAGGGGAGGGTCAGAGAGAGGCAGAGAGACAGAGAATCCCAAACAGGCTCTGTGATGACAGCGTGGGACTCGAACTCACAAACTGGAGATCATGACCGGAGCCAGAACCAAGAGCTGGACGCTCAACTGCCTGAGCCCTCAGGTGCCCCGATATTTTTACCTACAAAAGCCCCAAATTACAACTTAGGAACTGACGCCCTGTGAGGTAACGTGCCGGATCAGCAGCCCCTTGCTGGGAGGATGAATTGAAGTCCTGTTCTGAGGGCCACGCCGCACAGGGGTCAACAGGGATACTAAGATTGTGCAAACTGTAGACTTGGACCCTCTTAATTCTCAAAACTACATCGCAGCACTGAAAGCAGTGGAGGCTTGGAGCAAATATGTAATGTTTTAGATTGAAAACACGTGATGACGACGTGCATGGTATTTAAAAATGAAAAGAAGGATGATTTCAAACTCTGCATACATTCTTCTGATTTCCTTTCATTCCATCTTGAGGCGCCCTCATTCGCTTACCTACTTTGTCCTATTTCCTCTCCTCTCCTTGGCTTCCTCATCATCGTCATCTCCGGAAAACGATCTTTTCTTTTCTCTGAAAAACTGAAAGTGGACCTGTTCTAAACTTTATTGCGAGCCAGAAGCTGAGCATATTCTAAAACAAAGAACACCAGCAAGGGAGTGGATTTACTAAAATGTCTCTAATTTGGCACAAAGCAGAACATAATCCCTCTAGTCATGCAGGAAAGACTGATGGAGAACCCACCGCGTACAAGCCACTTATTCATCTCCCCAGTAGCAAGAGAGCAGGATCTGATGCCGTGAGCAGGTGTAGATGAGGCAGATGAGCAAGGGGAAGGTCAGCAGCCTCTGTGCGGCCACAGAGAGGGTACGTGGGGCAGTGCCACGGCCGTGCACTAATCCCCTCACACTGAAGCACACACACCTTCTAAAGAGGGGTTTTCTGTTCAGAGAGGATTGAATGTGGGTCCAGGCGAGCAAACAAGACTAGGCCATGGGCCTTGGGTTTGTCCCCGGACACCCACCTGAGCCTGTGTGTCTGTTCACGGGGAAGGATTACTCCGAACTCTGCCTTATGAGGAGTTGTCTGGTTCCTATTGTTCTGTGTTGTAAGTCTGAGGAGGAGGGCTGTCAAAACATGTCCCTCAGTTTTAACCAATCTCACAGAGAAATTTTAGGGAGAAGAAAAGGCAGGAGACATTTCCGCTGGTAGATAATCCTGTAACTGTGACTCAGATTGCCAGAGACACCTGCCTGTGGCATTTAAACACAACTGAGTTAATCAGAAGGTCTTTTTGACGTTAAGAAACCTCAGGAAAGCACTGATGCAGGGAAAGGACATCCAAACCCAATAGGCTGGCACCTGCTGGGGAGGTCGTGGGGGAGGGGCAGGTGCTGGGGGGGAGGGTACAGGTGCAGTGGAGGGGAGGAACAGGTGCACCGAAGGGGAAGGGGCAGGGCAGTGAGAGGGAGAGGAAGGGGTGCAGTGGGGAAGGGAGGGGTAAGTTTCGGGAGGGGAGGGGGCACAAGGCAGAGCCCTCCTGCCGTCAGGGCCTCCTGCAGCAGAAGTACTTTGGGGCAGAAGGGCTTTCGTAGGGAGATTCCTGGTGCCGCTTAGCCATTGAAAGGTGTAGACTGTGCCCTGACTCTGTGAACAAATGTAGCGTGTGCATGAACCAGGAGAAGCATGCTTCTCGTGCAAGCAGTTTGCTGGCCAGGAATTATGTCCAGTGCCAGCCAAGCAGGGGGAAGCCAGGTATTTGGTGTTCGGGAGATAAAGAAAGTGCATTTTTGGCCCAGCCCTATCATTGTCTGAGAGGGAAGTTCAGTGAAACAAAAGTGTTCACATCATCTAATGCTAGGATGGTTCTGGCTTATCTAGAAATATTTCACACATGACAGTCTATATATTCACTAATAGTTCATGAAAATAATTATTATATGTATTTTATAAATGTTTCTACTTGTTTTTGAGAGAGAGCGTGCGAGCAGGGGAGGGGCAGAGAGAGGGAGGCAGAGGATCTGAAGCAGGCTCTGTGCACCACACCGAGCCCGACACGGGGTTCAAACTCCCGAACCGTGAGATCATGACCTGAGCCAGAGTTAGACGCTTAACCCACCGAGCCTCCCAGGTGCCCCAATTATTATAATTTTAAACCATCATGTGATGATTTCCACAGCAATCTTATCAGGGTTCCATGTAGCCGCCTTAGTCAGATCTGGTCGGAAGAGCAGGACTGGGTTTCAGAAAGTCAAAGTAGCAGAGGCTAGATCACAGGAAACGTCCACGAAGCGCACATCTGTCTTCATCAGCCCTCAGTGTCCGGATGCAGAGCGCCCGTGTGTGGGCTCGCACCTCGTCCAGGAGGGTGAGGACTCTGAATGCTGCGCGTTAGTGACCAGCATGCGGAAGACGTTGCTGTACCTCCCAGAAGGCTGGTTTGAACCTAGATGGTTGTGAGGCGTGTGTCTGGTGGGAGGAGGTTCAGGGGGCACTTGCTTCCATCACATAAACGTTAGGTTTGCAAACCACACTAAATAAAAGAACGCTTTGTGTTGAAAAGAATCTCCTGCATTTATATTACGTGTGCATGCGTGTGCGTGCATGTGTATCTGGAGTGTTTTGAGCACAGGCAGCCAGGAAAAGACCACTAAACACGCTGTTCCCCTCAAAGATTCTCCAGGAGAGGTGGCTGTAGGCTGCTCTAAATAAAACCACAAATCATGTGTATTAAAAGCTTAATACATTTAAAAATGTTCCACAGTAACTCCAAGCTAATGATTCTAGAATTTGATACACAGAAAAATACACTAACTCTCATTTTATTTTTCAGCCTTGACTTTTCAGAGTAATTTTAACATCTTTCTAGCTCCATGTGCGTATTTCCAAATTATTCTGTTCTTTATGTGTTTGTTTTGGTCAATTCTTATTAGGGAAACCAATAACATTTGTTATGGTTGCATTTTATAGGCTGCCTGTGAATTTCATAGGAAATTGTGTGTTAGCTTATTTTAAATCCCACTCGCCAAGCACCCTGAATATTTCTTTTATTGCGAGGGAGCACGCAGGAAGTGAGGTACAGTATCTTTTCGAGGATTTATGGTAATGCTACAGAATATAGCTGATGGTAAGCAGTGCGGAGCCCTCGGGGTCCCTTCATTTGCCTGACACACTTCACTGCTGCCCATTAGCACTTCTCTGTTATTGCCACAGACTCGATTTAATGAGCTTCTCTGAATTTGGAGGTTTGCACCAGAAACAATAGCTTTAAACCAGAGACCCCCTCGCTCCTCCACTTTCTAATATTCTGTCCATCTTCTTTTCGACAAAATAAATTCTCTCTTTACACTATAGTTTGAAATGATCTGGGTATTTTCCAATTAAAAGAGTCCAGAGTTCCTAATCCTGAGACGATACTGCAGAAAACCCAGATAGAGAGCTCACAAATTGAAAATTTGCGTTAATGTAGATGATGTATTTTGTTGTTCTGCCCCTAAAATAAAATCGAGGTGACATCTAGAAAATTCCTTGTCATCAACAGGAATTTGATGACTAATTTTATTATGAACGAAGTCCCGATATTTCCAAGAAAGAGTTACACATCTAAAATAGTTCTCACTTATTAAATTGTTTCATAATTGCACCAAAGTGTTAAAAAGGCAACAGTTTTCCAAATTGGCTGCTAACTGTACAATCTAAATATTAAGTGCACTTAGTTTTACCTTCAAACCTAGACATGTATTTCAAACTGTTAAAAACCTTGGATTTCAGAGTAACCTGACTAGACGTTTAGAAGCATGTCCGCTTGTGCATCACGGCCGTCCGCGTGCCTCCTCGCCAGCAGTCTGTACTCCAGTGGACCTTGTCGTGAGGGGGCAGCACCGGGGGAGACGGCGTCCACCCTCCTCTCTCCTGTCGCTGATGCCTCTGTGTTGTTCTGTCCTTAGAAAATGAACCTGAAGGAGACTTGGTGAAGTCACCTGGAGGGGCGTCTGGAGCTCCGACCTTCCGAGGGAGCACACCCGGTCCCAGGAGCGCCCGGGCAGCTGACTGCAGGTACGCGCCCGCCGCGACAGCTCTGGGGCGGTGCACCAGGGTCCCGTCCCTGGGCCTCCCCGCTCACGGCTCAAATCGCTACCTTCCCAGCCGCCCGGTGCTTCCTGGCCTCAGGGGTGGGGGCTGTTAGAGGCTGGGCTGTGCACTGCCTCCAAACAGACAGTCCACGCTGGAAAGAGCCATTTTCAGTCAGTTAGATGATGCGTTTGTTCCCGCTTCTACACCTGTATAGGGTGGCACGGGCTGCGTGTCCTCCCGGGAGGGGGTCCCGGGGACGACTAGCGTGGAGGAAGCGAGCGGTCCTGGGACCCTCAAAGGGAACATTTCACTTTGAATTGTTGCCAAAAAGTCCACGGTCGCTGCGGAACCGGTTCGGAAAGTTCATCAGTTGTGGTTTGGAGAGCTGGGGGTGGAGGCCGGCACGTGGCAAGTGATGCTGCCCGGGGCAGCACGGTTCTCCTAGGGACTGTCGTAAGCTGGAGGCCGACATGACGGTACCGTGGGCCTGGAGCTGACGCCGATGCTCTGGCTTACCTTCTCAGTGCCCACCCTCACACGTTTCACACATGTGGCCTTACCGAGGGGAAACACGAAGCTCCTGGGGGAAGGTACTTCCTTAGGACGCTCTATGAGGCAAACTCGGGCACGCCTCCTAAGGTTCATGTGCTCCAGTGATTCGTCCGTCTGTCCACTACCCATTTGCCCGTCTGATGCAGAGGCACTCACTGCGCGGTGGAGGTTAACGGCCGGCGTCAGCCCCCGAGCCGCCCGGTGGGTGCCGCCGCCTCTATGGGCTGCATGAACCAGCGCCATAGGTCTGCTCTTCTGTCTCCTCGGCTCTCCCCTGTTCTCTTCCCTGACGAGCCCACTGCACCCATCGGTTCGCCTTTGGACAGGTGTTATCTTTAATCATCATTTCCCTGGAGTTTTTTTTAAAAAAATCTACTCACATTGAATGTTAAAGCCCTGCTTGACTTCAAAGCCAGTTACAGGTTCTGAATTATAGGTGTTTCGTATGTGTAACCTTGTTTTGTCCAATCCTGTCGAGTTTTACTCAAAGGTTAAAGAATGTTTAATGGAATATTCTGTATGGGTCTAATCTTTGAATGTGGATTCATTGAATTGGCACCTACGGCCTGGAGTTCAATGTTCACACTTAAATGATGACTGTCAACACGGCGTCCTGTAAAGCATTCCGATACAAACCTCACCATGAATTCGTGAAATGAAACAAAAAGGAATTAGCTGGTTTGCAAACAGAAGTCATGTTTACATGCAACAGACTCGGCTTTGAATGGGCTTCTCAGCTGAGGATGGGCAGTAGGTGTCGAGAAGTGCATGCTTTCAAGGTGTGTGGTTGAGCTTGTTCACAGCAGATGGGGAGGCAGCCCCGGAATTGATTGGTCTGGGGGGTGGGGCATGGCCAGTGCTAACGGTCCCCGGGGCCTGCACACCGGTCACGTGGCAGTGATAACAGCGGGGGCACACCCAGGATGCACCTGTCACAGAACATTTCACGTGTGCCGTTCCATCTTCACTAAAAATCAGCATCTCCCTGCAGGGCGGGGGTGATAACACATGTAAGCCAGCGTGCAAGAGCTCTGCAAAGCAACAGTGATGCTCACGTTTACACTCTGAGGTTCCGGATGTTTCTCCTCCATTCTCTTGTCCTTTAAAGATTAATGTTTGGCCTTGAGGGAGTTATCAGTGTAGAGTTGCTGTGTGTGTGTCATACATACTTTCGTCCCCGGGTGATGAAATAAACAGTGTAGCATTTCCAAATGGGAACACAAATGCGTTGGGACAGTGGCTTCCAGGAGCAGAGTATCAATCTTCATAGGATCATCTATACGGGGTGAATGTGGACATCATCGTACTGCATAGATGGGGGCACACAGACTGTCTGTGAGGGTCCCAACAGCGAACATCTTAGGCTCTGGGGCCACACGGTCCTGGAGCAAGTACAGCAGGGCATGCTGTGGCAGAGCAGCCCCGGCCCTCTGTAACCACATGGCCGTGTTCCGATAAAACTTTATTTACAAAACCAGCAGCAAGTGGATTTGGCCCTCAGTTTGCCCATCCACAGCAAGTACGTAAATTAAGACGTCCTAAATCACCACAATCACTTTTGGAAAATAGAATATAACTGTTAACTCTCTTTGCAAATGTTATTACTTGCACACTCACGCAGCAGGGTCAAACTTAGGGCGTGTTGTCCCACAGACGAGCATGCTGTGGCTGCGCTGCGCCGGCCAAGCAGTCAGGATGCAGCTGGGACAGAAGCTGCAAGACGGCCACGGAGAGTGGCCGCTCTATCCGTAGGAGTCAGGGCAGAACACAAGACGCCTGAAAGATCTGAAGAGGAGGGAACGCTTCTGGTACTTTCAGGCCTACATCATCAGCCTGCCCGCCCAGAAACAGCTTTAAATCATCCTGAAAACTGGATGGGAAGTAAAATCAAATTAAAACCAATGCCCACAGCTGTCCACCTCGGACATGCAGGGAGTTATGTGTCAAACCCACCCCACGGGGCAGACACTGCACCAGGTGCTCGGCGAGGCTGGTGTCCTGATTATGTTTGTATTACGTACAACCCACGCCGCGGTGCAGGTGCCGGGTTACGGGGAGGAACAAACCACACAATTTGGTAAAATGTGATCCATCCAGGCTGTTTTCCGGGATATGCTGTAGCTCCAAACCGCAAATGCAGAGTACATGGAATAAAATACCGAATACAAAAGAGAATTCTTTTAAATTGCAATCGATTTGACATCAGAAGCTCGATAAAGGGATTAATCTTGAGAATGACTTTAATGATGCCACAGATTATTTTTTAAAGGGCTATTGTATGAGTGTCTCAAACTTACCTTATTTGGTATGTGAATTAATAGTATATTTAGTTAAAATTCAGAACATTAATTGATATTTTCCATGGAAATGATTTGCCAGAATGCATGTATCCTTAAAGCAGCACTTTGAGAATTCATAAATTGTTTCAGAATAGATCAGAACAGGAGAGAATGTGTGGTAGAAAATGGTGGAAACACAAATCACAGACGTGATGTAGCCGATTGACCCTAAGTAGTTAGGAAAAGACAGGTCTGCTAGTCTCACATGGAATCAGTGTTGGGCAGAAATTTGGGTAAAATTTCTCCCCCCCCGCCCTCCCCCTCCCCCCCGCCGCCCCCCTCCCGCCCTCCCCCAGCCCATCCCCCCGGCGTCCCTCCCGCCCCCCGGGCGTGTGCACCAGCCCTGCCCCGAAGGAAACACGCGTATGCTGTCAGCACCGCCTTGGCCTTCCCCGCACGCGCCCTGCTTACGTGAAGCCTTTGACGTCGGCCTCCCTTTCTCCCAACCCCCGGCGCCCCTCAAGGCCCATCACAGTGTGGGGGTGCCGCCCCTGCCGCGTCTGGGGGTGCTGCTCCTGCCGGGTCTGGGCGTGCCGCCGCTGCCGGGTCTGGGGGTGCCGCCCCTGCCGGGTCTGGGGGTGCCCACCGCTGCCGGGTCTGGGGGTGCCCACCGCTGCCGCGTCTGGGGGTGCCGCCGCTGCCGGGTCTGGGGGTGCCGCCGCTGCCAGGTCTGGGGCGGTCTGCCCTCTCGGGAGCCCTGGTCCTCCGCTGCTCGCAGACGCCGTAAGGGGAGAAGAGTCTCCTGACGTTTAAAGGACAGGGGTGCTGCTTTCTTAATAAAATGAATTGTCGAATCAATTCCTGTAAATATCATCCATTACCATCAGTGTGTGATTTTGTGCGTTTGTGCAGCACATTTTTGAGTCAGTTACTATATGCCAGACATTGCCGATACAAAAAATGGAATTCTAGAACTCTGGCACCAGGCTGTTCACGTTTAACCCTTTGATGGGAGGGGCGCACATGCTCCAACAGATAACAAAGCGAAGAAGCGCGCACCGTGAAAAGGTCTGTAATACAATCCAGCCCCAGAGTGGGTGAATCGAAGTGTTCAGGGGAATAGGGTCCTGGGGGATTAACGCCCAGGCCGGACTCTGAGGCGGCTGTCGCACTTTTCTGGGTGATGGCATTTTAGACGTAGCACCAGCCCGTCTGGGCAAGGGCAGGCAAAGCAGGAGAGGCTGTGGGCTCCGTGAGTTCGGGTTGTGCACTGTGGGCGGTGGGGACCCGGGGAGTTTAAGGGGAGACATGAGCTGGCCTTCCCCTGACGAAGGCGCGTGAAGGGTGAACTAAGGAGCAAGTCCGGAGACTGTCGGGCGTCCGGGGTGGTTGCGGGTCTCAGCCAGGGCGGGGCTGGTTGGGGTGAAGGTGCAGGTGTCTGTGCAGGAGTGTGGTGTGCAAGGGGTGTGATGTGCAAGCCAAGCAGACACGCTGTCGTCGTGGCTGACCCCTAGAGCGTGACGGGAGAGCACAGAACGGCTCGTCCACTCAGACGTCCAGAGCTGCGGCATTGTCACCTGTGACACAGGTGTGACACAGGAGGACTGCTCGCCACCCGCCAGGGCCATTGATGGCGGCATTCAGCACTGCCTGTGGCGCCCGGGGCCGGCTCGCAGCCCACACTCCGAGACACTGACTGTCGTCACTGCTCAAAAAGGGCAAAGACACAGGTGCTTCGTCATAAAGATTAAGGCACAAATAATCTGATTTGCATCTGGGCTGTGCGCTCCGCTACCCAAATCAAAGTACCTCTGCTTCCCAAGCTGCTGTGTAGACAGGAAGGCGCTCTACAGTCTGTACAAAGATTCAAGGCTACTTTGTTAAAGAAAAAACCAAGATGCAGAAAAGAAGCAGAAATATGAACACATGTACATACATTTGCTGGTCTTTGCATAAAAATTCTAGACAAGAAGAGAGTAGGAACATTCGTGTGAGCAGTTACTGTGCAGAAACAGGCAGGTACGAGGGCGGAGTTTTCTTTTTAGTTTTTAGTTCATTTGTTTCTTCCTTTTGCTTTTATGTTTGCACCATGCAAGCGGATGGAAGGAGGGACGGGAAGGGAAAGGATGGGATGGGAGGTGACGGGGGACC